CCCAGGGAAGGACTACATAACAATATGGCAGATTCTGGTCAACATTCTCAGCGCAAGGGTGAAGAGGGTGAGAACGATTGCATGGAGTGTGAAGGGTTTTCAAGAATGCTGCTCGAAGGAGCACACCACATAACATCGAACGGTAAAAAGGGTAACAGTGAAGGCGTGATAGGTTATAGGAAATGTGAATAGCCCAAAGTAGAAGGGGAGATACCACAACTGTTTAGCACACGTTTGGTCAAATAATGGCGTTTACTTGTATCTTTGACGAGCTGTACTATGGTGCTAATGGCGAGACTCACTGACGATGCCAGCGAAACGTCTGGGAAGGTACCACGTCCATGGTCTGACTTTGGAAATGATCATGCATACAATGCACTCTGCACTAGGTGTGCGCCTCTAAGTCTTCCTACCAATATGACCAAGTTGCGAAAACAAAGTCAAACAACTTCTATACAACGAAGGGAGACTTGGACCACACAAAAGGACACACCATCTTGGTTTTCATACCTTAGAGCTACTAGAGCCACAATAGATTTCAAATATTTTAGGCTCTACAGCTTTTAAACTATTTCATCCCAATCTCTATTACATCCTTGTATTCCACAACTCTTTACACATTAACTGCCATTGATTCTCTTAAAAGGTAAATTACTTTCCTATATTATTTGAATAGTAAGTATTTGGCATTTATTCTAACAACAAGCCTGTCTGGTCCTCTTGCTCTTTTCCTAATTTATTTAAATCTTTCCTATGGTATTTACTTGGTTTGGCCTTGTTATATTCATTGAAATAATATAACTAGATATTACAACCCTACTTTCTTAAACTGTCAAATTAAAGTAAATAGATCACACACCTCTGGACCATTATCTTCTAGTCAAGTGGAAGCGCTGGGCCATGACGGAGAAGCTCTGTTCAATTTCGTTATTTCGGCCAGTGATCCAGCTAGCGTTGAGAGCCAGTTAACTCAGAGGCAGCATTGCGCTCTGCAGGCTTATCGGGAATTGGCTATCCGTCTTGCAGTAGACAATGCAGTGCCCGATAGAAAGGTCCATTGATCTTTTCCTGATATTCTACTCGATATGCTCTGAAAGTCGCTAATGCTTTACTTATTTTTTTTACATAAACATTTATATTTTTTAAATGTGCCGGTATTACTTATCCTTAAATATATAAAAAATATATGCACTATTACCATTAGTGTAATTAACTTTTAGCCCAGATCATTTTCTTTTTCTGTTCCATTTTTATCGATTGTTTATTTATGTTTCATACATATGTTTATATGACGTAATATTCACATCATTTTCTGTAGCGCCTTGTCATTTACATTTAATCAATTTGCTTATGCTTGGTGATCCA